TCCAGATCATTGATAAAGATGTTAAATGATGTTAAATGATGTTGAACAGCACGGGCGTACCTCCATTGCAGAACGATGACGGGGGCCACTGCTGCCTGGTGAACAAGTGGAGCACCTTCCTGAAGGCCCGGCTCGTCTGCTCCGTGCCAGGACCCGACGGGATTGAAACACACTTTGATGAGCTCCGTGAGTGGGTGGGGGAAGCACAGGGTCCTTCTGCACCCCTGTGGGCTTGAGGACACCCTGGGGAGGTGACACAGTAACCTGGGAGTAACCTTGCTGCCCCCCAGCTCTTACCTCTCCCATAGGGAGCAGCTCTCCCCACTGCCCCAGTGTCCCTGGGTGCAACAGGGGTCCCTGCCCACCTCCCCCTTGGTGACACTCCCATCTTTCTGTCCCAAGAGGATGTCTTCATCCAGCAGACCCAGGACTCCAAGAACCCCATTATCTACGCTGTGTTCTCCGCTTCAGGGTGAGTGCTGACCCTCTCGGGAGCAGTGGAGGAGGGGGTCCTCAGCTGGGTGGGGGTCCTCAGCTGGGTGAGGGTCCTGGTGATGCTGTGGTGGCAGGCAGTGCCACACCAAAGGGTGGCAGCAGGTCTTTCCTCCCAGGTCGGTCTTCAAGGGCTCTGCTGTGTGTGTCTACTCCATGGCTGACATCCGCATGGTCTTCAACGGGCCCTTCGCGCACAAGGAAGGACCCAACTACCAGTGGATGCCCTACACAGGCAAAATGCCCTACCCCCGGCCGGGCACCGTAAGTAGCACCCGTGCCCGTGTGGGTAAGTGAGCTGGTGCCTGCTGGGCAGCCAGCATGGTCAGACCCATGGTCACCAGGTCACCAAGTGTGGGTGACATCTTTGCTGCAGTGCCCCGGAGGGACCTTCACCCCATCCATGAAGTCAACCAAGGACTACCCCGACGAAGTGATCAACTTCATGCGCGCGCACCCGCTGATGTACCACGCCGTTTACCCCACGCACCGCCAGCCGCTGGTGGTCCGCACCAACGTCAACTACCGCTTCACCACCGTGGCCGTCGACCAGGTGGATGCGGCAGACGGGCGCTATGAGGTGCTTTTCCTGGGCACAGGTACCCACGCCGCGCACCGCGGGGAACACAGCATGCTCCAGCGCGGCCCCGGAGGGCACCACCAGGGCTGGCCAGCACACGTTGCCCCTGCCATGCTGGATGGGGCGAGTGGCTGAGGCCTCCCCTGAGATCCCTGCCCCTCCTCAAGGCTCCAGCTTGGCCCTTCCCCTGCTCTGGTGCCCATCCCACAGACCCCACCATCCAGCCTGCTCCTTCTTCTAGCCCAGTTCCTGTCCACAGGGCTGATACCTCCCATCCTAGGGATGCCACCGTCCAGCTTGGTCCTACCCCTGCCCCAGTGCTCACCCCAAAGGCTCCACCATCCATCCTCATCTATTCCTGATTCTGGTGCCCATCCTGCAGCCTCTGCAATCCAGCCTTGTGCTTCCTATTGCCCATCCTAAGCCCACCATCGTCCTGCCTTGAGCTTCTCCTGCCCCATGGCTCATCCTAGAGGCAACAGCATCCCACCCTCTCCTTCCCCAGTGCCTATCTTGGGGGTACCATTGCCCAGCCTGGTGCTTCCTCTGCTCTAATGCACATCCTAGAGCTGCTGTGATCCATTCCCGGCTGCTGTCTTCACCCTGCCCTGCATAGTGTCAGTCCCTGGCCACGGGTGGTGACCTGAGCTGGTAGCCACAGCCCAGACACAAGCGCCCACTGCAGCAGGAGAGAGATGGGGATGGGCTTGATGGGGTCCTTCTTCCCCCCGCCAGGACCTGCATCCCAGGGGGGGAGGGTCTGGGTGCCCAGGGGTGGCACTGAGCCCTGGGCACTGTGGTGTCTTGCAGATCGGGGCACCGTGCAGAAGGTCATCGTGCTACCCCGGGACGACATGGAGACGGAGGAGCTCATGCTGGAGGAGATTGAGGTGTTCAAGGTGAGGGTTGTCCTGTCCTCCACCCTGCACTGTGTCCTCAAGCCAGCCCCCTGGGACACCAACCAACCCCTGGGGACGCCAACCAGCCACTTGGGGCACCAGCCAGCCCCTTGGCCAGCTTTGGAGGGACCCCAAGCGTTGGTTCTTCTACCTGCTGCCCCCTTGCAGCTCCCCCTGCTCACCCCAGCTGATGGGTGGGGGCTGGGGTGCCCACCCTGGGGCTGCAGCATCAGGCCAGGTGCTTGCCCCTCCATCTCCTTCACTCCTGCTCCCATCCAGGTGCCGGCATCCATCAAGACAATGACCATCTCCTCCAAGAGGGTGAGTCACAACGTGTGGCAGGGGGCTGGGCAGATCCCACCACAGGTCCAGCGTAACCACGACACCAGAGCCACCAGCAGAGAGCGACATGGGTGGCTGCAGGGCAAGCTGGCTCTGGTGGCCCTGGGTGGCCCTGGTATCTTGGCTGATCACAGTACTGTGAGGCTGCAGCTCCCTTTGTGGAGGGTCCTTGCAGGGAGGGGACAAAACAGCATCTCACCCTGTCCTCTTTGTCCCCCCAACAGCAACAGCTGTACGTGTCCTCAGCCGTCGGCGTGACCCACCTGGCCCTCCACCGCTGCGATATGTACGGGGAAGCCTGCGCCGACTGCTGCCTGGCCCGGGACCCCTACTGCGCCTGGGACGGCAGCGCCTGCACCCGCTACTCCGCCTCATCCAAGAGGTACGGGGAGTCAGGGGGAGTCAGGAGGAGCAGCAGGGAGGGACACCTGACCCCCAGGCTCCCCCACTCACCTCCTGCCTCCCCACAGGCGCAGCCGGCGGCAGGACGTCCGGCACGGCAACCCCATCCGCCAGTGCCGAGGCTACAACTCCAATGGTGAGCGAGGGCTGGGGCAGCCCTGCAGTATGGGGGGGTCACCTGGGGGGGCCTGCTGAGGTTGGAGGGCAGGAAGGTGTGGGCAATGGCCAGAGGTGGACATGGGTGGGTGGACACCATGGTGGGTTGATGATTGTGTGGGTGGAGATACAGAATCACAGAATGTACTGGGTCGGAAGGGACCTTTAAAGCTCATCCAGTCCAACCCCTGCACTGAGCAGGGACATTGGTACCAGATCAGGATGCTCAGAGCCCCATCAAGCCTGACCTTGAATATCTCCAGGGATGGGGGCTCCACCACCTCTCTGGGCAACCTGTTCCAGTGAATATATGGGAAGAGGGTGAGTGTGGGTGGGTGGTGGGTGGATGGAAGAATAGATGCATTGTAGAGGATGAACATGGATGGATGGATACCTTGGGGATGAGGATGAGCATGAATGGATGGGGGAGTAGGGTGAACATGGATGGATAGATGAGTACATTTGGGATGGAACGTGGATGGATAGATGGATATGTTGAGGAAGAGAATGAGCAGATTTGGATGTGTGGATAGAGGGATGGATGCATGGGGAAGGATGACCACAAATTGATGAGTGTATAGATGAATGAATGGATGGATAGATGGATGGACATGGGTGGATGGGTGGACACGGGTGGATGGATGGACACCCTTGTGGAAGTGGCTACACTAGAAGAAGAGGAGAACACTTGCTGGTGGCTGGGGAGCAGGCAGTCCTGTGGCTGGAGGCAAGCTCGGTGAGCTGGGCAGGAAGGCAGCACAGCAGGACAGCATGGCAGGGTCGCGGAGGTGCATGTGTGACCTCGCTTTCTGCGGCCCAACCCTGCAGCTAACAAGAACACGGTGGAGGCTGTGCAGTACGGCGTGGAGGGCAGCACTGCCTTCCTGGAGTGCCAGCCCCGCTCGCCCCAGGCCAGCGTCAAGTGGCTGCTGCAGAAGGACAACAGCGACCGACGGAAAGAGGTAGGGCAGGGGGCTGCACCAGGGGCTGCCGGGAGTGCTGGGTGCCATTCGGCTGAGCCA